CGGGCGCGACACTGAGGGTTGCGATCCGTTGCCGGACACGAAAAAAGACAAAAAAAGGAAAAAATAAATAAATAAAAAATAAATTAATAATCACTGTTGGACCAGATCTGTATTGTGATAATATTTATAGTTTTAGCTCTTTCGTGTGTGTGTGTGTGTGTGTGTGTGTGTGTGTGTGTGTGTGTGTGTGTGTGTGTGAGAGATATCATTTACTTACATTAAGTGGGATTACTGGATTAAAGGGTATGAAAATTTAAAGTAAAATTTTTTTAAAAAGTCAAGGCATGCCAAAATATCAGTAATAAAACTAGTTTAAGAGTGACTTCTGGATTTCTGCCAGTCTACATAGGTGAGTATTCACTATCAATAAGGACAGATAAGCTTATGGATCTCCTAAAGTTAAAGAGCATGTCTTATTTAAAAATAAAAAGGTGGGGGGGTGCTGCCGAGACCAAGATGGCCGTAAGACTCACTGCCTTCCTCAAGAAAGTGTGGGCCACAGAGCTGGTGCTGGTCATGTCCTTCACCATAGTGACCCTCACAGTAATTCTGCCCCTACACCAAGCATGCCATCATAATTAAACAGGTCATGCCCTACAACTACCCAGTGCCCCTCCGAGATGATGGAAACATGCCCAATGTACCCAGCCCAATGTACCCTCAGGATGCCCAGGGCCCCAGCTTGGAGTGGCTAAAGAAACTGTGAGCACCTCCATTGACAGGGAAGAGGCCCCCTCCTCTGTGGCCCCCAATAAAAATGTGAAAACCTCCCCTCCCCACCCCAAAAAAGCATGCCTTGCTGCCTCTCATATTAAAGGATTGCAAAGAAAAAAAGTTGAATATCCTTGAGAAAAGTGAGGACTGCTTATTATGAACCCATCCCTGTCCTCTCTCATACATAATTTCAATTCCCCACATTGACCAGTTTGAATTAAATCAGAGGGTTTGACCAGTGTGGTTATTTTCATTATGAAACTAATAAAATCTATATATATTTGCATATGAAAAATTATCTGGAAAAAACTTTCATTTCATGTTTGTGTACATGTGACTACCCATTGTCATTTTTGTTGTTACCTTTCTTTCCTTTTTTCAGGGTGCCATGGCAGCTACATATTCTGCTTTAAACCGTAATCAGTCACCAGTTTTGGAACCAGTAGGCCGCTCTACTCTTGCTCAGCGGAGAGGTATTAAAAAAATCACCTCAACAGCCCTGTGAAGTGACCTCAGTGAGAAATTTGGTACCGTGGTGTAAGCTGATAGCACAAGTTCTGGCGACAGGTAGCACATACCTGAGAGACACCTGCAAGCACACACTGTCCCAGCTGGTACCCATAATGCTGCTGCTCCTGCTGCTGCTCCTGCTTTCGTCTCTTCTCGCTTTAAATGATTGTTAGCAAGTTAGATTTTCATGGAGCTTCGGTTGAAATGAAAATGGAAACATGATGAAGATATATTCACTGAATCAACGAGAAAAATAATGAACATATAAATACCACCTAAAAATACACTGAATAAAGTACTCTACACCATATAGCATTATTTTTATAGGAAATATTTCATGTCCTTTAAATATTCTTTGTTAGTTATAGGGATGGACAATTTATGTTAAGCACTTAGCTTAAACAATCCGTTTATATTAGCACTGTATCCCTTGTGCCATCCAACATTTTGTATGTTTTTGTAAACAGTTCATATACAGTACATTTCCGTACTGCTTTCTTTAATGTATACATGCCTTGTTTAACTTGGAACCTATTATTATTAATCAATTGACTATTAAATCTGGTTAAATAGTTCACCTGGATTAACAGTATTGTCAGACAGCCCTAAAAATGGCCAGATTGTGGAACAGCTTTTGAATGTAATACTTTCAAAATGTACATATCTTTCCCCATGTCTGTTTCACTGGTTTGTTCATTTGTTTCTTAAAGTCAGGTGCTCTGTCAGGCTAACCTAGAGAGCTGTTGTGGTAGAGAAAGTTACATATATATGGCATGAAATCAAGAGTACACCTATGAAGTTAGTCCATATACTTTGCAACTCCTTAGGGTTCTTTTTTTCCTTAATTAAGGGAGTAGTCCTTGCACTTTTAATCTTACATAGTATCCATACTTAGTATTTGGCATATCATTTGGGATTTTGCCAGCATACGTCAAAGGCCTTTAAGAGTCATGGTAAAGAGATTGGTGAAGGAAAATTTAGCATCAGGTAATTGAATAGATATTCTATATAAAACACTAATTTGAATGTAATAAAGGCCACAGGCCTCTATGGGAAATTGGATTTAAACTTTCTTTTTCTAGGGAATAAAACATTCTTAGTCAAACAATATCTGTTCTAACCTGAAATCATAGCTAAGGTAGGCTAAGTCAATGTTCAGCATTGACTTTTCTGAATCCCTCCTGATGATCTATAGCCATATAGTGCTTCCTCTGACTTCAGAAATGACCAGTTTGTAATGGCCACTGGGTCTGCTTAGATTGCAGTATTCATTATCTACATCTAATTTGATAGTTTCCACAGTTTTTTTTTTTAAGGTGACCAGTAAGGGGATCTCAACCCTTGGCTTAGTGTTGTCAGCACCACGCTCAGCCAGTGAGCCAACCAGCCATCCCTATATAGGATCCGAACCCGTGGCCTTGGTGTTATCAGCACCGCACTCTCCCAAGTGAGGCACAGGCCGGCCCAGTTTCCACAGTTTGATGAAAGAAACTTCTGTACCCATTATTGTATCTTTGCCAAGTACCTAGACTACATCAGTATGTAGTGTAAAAGACATATGAGCAAGGAAAAAGTGACTTAATTTACCTCGTGAAGAATGTGCCCAAACAGATCTTTCTTAGTCATGTACTAAGCCATTTGCATCAGAAATCTTTTTTCCTGACAGAAGCTTTAAATCATCCTCTAAGAATACAAAGTCGAGAGAGTGGTTCATCTCAGTGTCTTGAAAGCCACTTGTCATTCCTTAATTTCTCCTCTATGCAATTACAGAGAAAGGGGAAATCTATAACATTCCTTTTGCTCAAGTGACACAAAATGATTATTGCATAGAAATCAAATGTAAGTTTATCTTCTAATTTGAAAAATGTATAGGAGGAGGGATATCAGAAGATCTAGATAAAGTTTTTTAAAGTTCTTGAGTATATGGATGCCAACAATTAAAAGCTGCTTTCCATTGCTTGGAAAGAAAGCTTTTTCTTTTCTCTATTCAGTGTTTCAAACCATGGTCATACCAAATTCTTGACACTTTTAAAATGTTAATGTAACTGAGCAGAAAAAAGATATATTTCAGAGTTTTGACACTGATGCTACTCCATAATTGCTTAGATGTATTGTCCCTCATAGTCTTTCAGAACTATCCTTATAAATTATCTGGTCCAATTTACTCATGTAAAGAACCTGAGACCCAAATCAAAGACTAGAATTCTTAACTTCTCATTTCAGGGTTTTTTGTTTTTTTTCTTCATAACAACATGCTGCCTTTCCTTCATATTATTACCTGACCAGTAGCTGAGTTCAAAAACTACATATTTCTTGGGGCAGTTCTCTACTGGTATATGATGTCAAGTTTATTTCTATCAAAAATAATTGCCTTCTTTGCCTAGTCAAGCTGCCAGTTTTACTGGAGAAAAGCAAGTTACGTGTTCACAAAACAGAAGGTTTTCAGCCTAAAAAGCAGTTTATGAGCACAATTTCTTTCATCTGTAGTTCTGGTATTCCCATTGCTTTTGACTTCCAGTGGACAAACTCAGCCAACAATGTGTTTTTGATGTAGTGCTTGTGCTGGGTTAACCTTCCATTAATTTCTCAAAGCCCAATTTTTCCAGGCCTCTGTAGTTGTGGTATTGAGACCCCAGAAAGCTTCTTGCCTTCACCAGTTAGTGCTACTGGTTACTGAGGATTCTTCCATGAGGTGTCAGTCCAGTCTGAAAGATATTTCACTGTGAAAGAAGGAACTAAACTATCGGGCCTCTTTTGCAAACTTCCTCTTAGTTTATAATCCAAAATAATATCCAAAACGATAGATTGTATTGCCAAGCACATACCGGAAAGTACGAATTACACTACAATGTATTTTGTATCTTCCCTTTCAAGTGATGATGATAAATTACGGTAAGTTTTTTGTCCTTTTTTATCTGTTTTTTATAAATCATTTCAGCCTCTTCCTGTTTATAGAGATGTCTTCTTTTTAAGTACAGTAGACTCTCGACTTCAACAGATTTGATATGGATGCATTTATTCACAAGAAACCCCAAAAGTCCAAAAATATTATAATTTTGGCAAGACACAAAGTGGACGTGCTGTGAGGCTGGTGTGTGGGAAAAGTCACTTGCGAGTGTCTGGAGAGAGGGTGTGGTGTGTGTGTGATAGAGTTTCCACATTTCATATGCGGTGCACTCCAAAGAGCGGGTTTGGGTTAACCATTTCCCATCTATTTTTAAGAAGTGGCTACTGTTGGGGATAGGGGGACATCATGGGAGGTGGAGTTGTCCAGTTAGCTGTGCCCTGAACCCTCAGCCCAGGAAAGATTTGAACAGAGGGTGGGTGGGTGGGCGCAAAGGCTTCAAAAGAAGGCAGAGTATGTTTGGTAGGAAAGGGACTAGGGTAGGCCCAGCCTGGGATGGTAGTTAACAGAAAAGCATTCAAGATTTGGGAGCTATGGTACAGATGTGCTTAATCACCATGGAGGCCAACAATACACATCTCAGCATGGCTTTGATATTCTCTACTTCCTGGCCTTTATAAATGACCTAAGTTTGTTCAGCTTGCTTTACTATATTTTATAGAGAAAATTCTATCTTATGATGGTATTGAGCATTTGAGTTTTATGAAGATAATAGGACAGATAGCTCAGGAATGTAAAGGGTCAGAAAAGGCCTATTTTCTGTGATTAACAAATACAATAAATTCTATGGCTGACTTTGGTGCTTAAACCAGGAGATTCCAATGTAGTCCTAGACCTCTGTCCCTCTGAAAGGCTCAACACATTTGACTAAACTGGATATATACTTTGAGCATTATTTCACAGATAAGTTGACTTAATTCATATTTTTATTTCAATTAATGAAAATAGTCCTCTTTTCAACCCCAGGTTGCTTACATGTTGCTAGTCTCCCCAAGTGACCATTGGTGGAGACCAATTAATGAAGGAATGAAATTCACTTTCTTGGGACTGTGGTATTCTACAGAGCCACACTTAACCACTTTTTCCAGTGAAGAATCTACAGAATGATAATACCCAAATATGGATGACCAAGAAGAATTTGTATCTACAGTGTGCTTTTTGTATTTTTGACACTGCTGTATTCTGTGTGGTTGAGTGACTTGTAACTGGTTCTAATGTGACTGGGTGTTCTTAAAGAATTCTAGTAACTAAGTCAACTTAATTTTCTTAAGCCTGGTATTATATCAGTCTCACATTTACCACTTTGATTCCAGTCTTTTAACTGTTCATAACAGGGCATACCGAGGGTTGGAATGAGAGCCTACTTCCTACCTCTTAAGGCACTTTCCTCATTATTTTGCCATTAAACCTTGAACTGCATGATAAGCTGTTTAAATGTCCCTTACTTCTCCCAGAGCAACTAGCAAAGTATATGATATTTTGAATACAGACTTAGCAGAAAGGAAAATTTAGAGATTTAAGTTCAGAGGTGCAAACCTCAAGAAAACCTCTTTAGAGCATACCATATGAGTACAGTGTATGTAAACGTACATGAGATGAAAGTCGCTATAATAGTCCTCTCTAAGTAGATTAGTTCAATATCTAATGGAAGTGAACATCTTTACTCCTATTATCACTATAGTACTAAGTGAACTGTATACTGAGTTTTTCAAAGAAGTATTTAAAATAGAATTTTAAATACAAAGCAAGGGCATAAGGATAAAGATTTTGGGTTGTATTTCTATTAAGTGTAGTTTACCATCTAAAGCTTTGTTTTTTAATTTAAAAAAAAAAAAAGCTTCATGGTATTGCCATTCCTTAGCATCCTTAATGATTATGGATGATGAGTTTTTAACTTTTAAAATTGTATACATGTATTAGTTTATCTTAACTCTTGCCCTAAACAAAAGGGAAGGCATACACCTAAGGGATGTAATTATTTTGCATTTTTGGCCATGGGTGGGAGTGGGGTGGCTAGCTACTTAAATGGTTTTTAAAAAAAAAAAAAATCACAAATATTTTTTTACTATTGTATATGATCTTACTTTATACTAGTTTCTCTCTAGTGAGGCATGCCAGAAGCCCAAGGTACCATATCATGAGTTCTTATGTATTGTACCTTTTATTGATGGTTAAATTACATCAGATGCTTGGCACTGCTGCCATAATTATGAGATGCTTGTAAAGGATCAAATATCACTGAATACTTTAAATTGTTTTACTTAAGAGTCTAATGTGGGAAGTTTTAAAATCATACTATTAATGTGTAATCAAAGTTCTTTCAGATGTATCCATGAATAATCCTGGAACAATATTGCTTGTATCCCTGTCATAGAACAGGTTTTGTAATCTTTAAAAGAAATGAAAATTTATATAATAAAGTTTCAAATAAATGCATGTGTGTCCCTTATATCAGATTATTTCAATTACATGATGACTAATCCTTTGTCATATCAAATTATTCTATCCAAAGTATATTTATAAAATTGGATTGCTACAACTTAAAACAGGAATGTTTGAGTTAATAATTAGTGCAAAATAATTTTTCTGTGCATAGTCTCAGTTCCCTCAAAGCGTTTGTCAAATCTGATTCACATAAATCATCAATCTTACCCAGTACCAAACTTGATTAATGATTCAAAGGATATGGGGTGATCACCAGGCACAGATGAAACATTCTTTTCTTGGAGAAGTCCAAAACTACCAGACTCAGCTCCAAAACTGCCCTTTTCCTCCCTCTTTACAGTGCATTTTGGACTCAGGGTCAAAGGACAATTGTCCTTCTGAGCATTGTATGTGGAGACCTTGTTCAAACAAAGGGTGTTATTTGGTTTTGCAACATCTTTTTATACTTCATTAATTACACAATTAAAATGACAAGCCCCCATTCTTCAGCCTGCCATGCCTCATAAATCCGTAACTTCCAGGTTTTGCAATAACCTATCTATAAGGTCAAGTATATCTTGCTAAAAGTATTTTAAAGGTAAGGACTTTCCATTTTCTTTCTGCTAATAAACATCACTAGCACATCTGAAAGGAAATTTGACTGAGGTCATTGATTCCTGGTAGAGAGGGAATGGGTTATTTAGGCTTGAAGTTAGCCCTTTCTTTCCCAGTTGATGTTTTTTAGTAGTCTTACATTATGAAATACCACAGACTGGGTGGCTTAAACAAGCAAAAATGTATTTGCTCACAGTTCTGGAGGCTGGGAGTCCAAGAACAAGGTGCCTGCATGGTTGGGTTCTGCGGCCTCTCTTTGGCTTGCAGATGGCCACCCTCTTGCCTCTTCACATGCGTGTGCACCCTTGATGCTCCACTCTTAATAAGGGCACCAGTCATATTGCATTAGGGCCTCACCCTAACAGCCTCCTTTTAATGCAATCACTTCTTTAAAGGCCTTTCTCCAAGTACTGTTACATTCTGAGGTACGAGGGGTTGGAAGAAACCATACAACTATGCAAACTGATACCACTTCAAGTTTATGTTTTCTAATCTCAGTTAAGCCCTCAGTACCATTTGTCAATTCTTTCATTTTTCATTAGTCAGATCCATTCTTCCATTTCTTTTTTTTTAACAGCTTTATTGAGATATAATTTACATGCCATAAAGTTGATCCATTTAAAGTGTACAATGTCTTTTAGTATATTTACCGAGTTGTGCAGTCATTATCTAATTTTATTTTTTTTTTAATTATCTAATTTTAGAACATTCTCACCATCTCCCCAAAAAAACTGATACCCTAGTCCAAGCCACCATTGTCTTTTGCTTGAACTATTACACTAGCCTGTGTGGTCTGTTTCCACCTTCGCCCTCTACAGTTTATTCTTAATATGGAAGCCAAAATGATTTGTTTAAAAGCTACTAAGGATTAGAACAAGTGATCTGATCTCCTTGCCTCTCTGATTTCACCTCCCCAAACTCTTCCCCTGGCTTGCTGCATTCTGGCCACACAGGCCTTCTTGCTATTCCTTCAATATGCCAAGCATGCTCCCACTCAGGGCCTTAGCCCTTGCTGCTCTCTCTACCTAGTACACATTTCCTCCAGATGTACACATGACTCACTTCCTTCCAAGTGATTCTGATCATCAGTCAGATGTGGGAACCATTCTATTGTAGGGAAATGAAGGCTAAAGTTTTTTTCTCCTTTGAGGTTTTATACTGGGTAATTGACAGAGACTTTTGATTTTTAAATATTTGGACTTTCAGACACTTGGAATCTGATTAATTATCATATACTAGGCACAATTGCTAAACACTGAATGCATTATATCAATTTAATTCCTGCAACCCTAATATGGTAATTACTATTCCTACACCCAATTTATAGATGAGAAATCAGGCTTATAAAGAGATTAAACAACTTGTCCAAGATCATAGAATAATTGTTGCTGCGGAGTCTAAATTTGAACCCAGGTCTCTCTAACTCCAAAGCCCAAGTTCATAATCATTTTGCCTTGAAGCCAAATTTAAATACATTTCATAAAGACATTCTTTCATCCTCAATTGTGTAAATTGCAAAATATTGCAAATGTTAAAAGAAACCCAGAACTTGGAGTACCCCATCATCTTTCAGTTTCCCTCTGAGACGTCCATCTGTTGTTGGGTTTTCCAACCTCAGTTCTATTGACATTTTGGGCTAGACAATTCTTTGGGGCAGGGGTGGGGGTTATACTGTGCACTGTAGGATGTTTAATAGCATCCCTAGCCTCTGCCCACTGGATGCAAGCATCACTGCCCCCCTCCCTCAGTTGTGACAGCCAGATAAGTCTCCAGACACTGCCAAATGTACCCGGTAGAGAACCACTGTGTTAAATGATCATACTTTCTCTGTCATCTAAGTATGTCCGTTTCACTAGAGAGATGATGTTGAAACCCTAATGTTTGCGGAAAGGTGATTTATTTAAAATAAGTTTACTTAAAAGTGAAGCTATTCACCCAGCATAGCCAGCTGCATTAGTTTGCTAGAGCTGCCATAAAGTAACAGACTCCAAAGCCCACGCTAATAACAACAGAACTTTAAGAGTGGCTTAAGGGTAGGCCCGTGGCTCACTCGGTAGAGTGCGGTGCTGATAACACCAAGGCCACGGGTTCGGATCCTATATAGGGATGGCTGGTTTGCTCACTGGCTGAGCGTGGTGCTGACAACACCAAACCAAGGGTTGAGATCCCCTTACCGGTCATCTTTTAAAAAAAAAAAAAAAAGAGTGGCTTAAACAACAGAAATTTATTTTCTCACAGTTCTGGGGGCTAGAAGTCTGCGATCAAGGTGTCGGCAGGGTTGGTTTATTCTGAGGCCTCTTTCTTTGACTTGTATATGGCCTCCTTCTTGTTCACGTGGTGTTCTCCGTTTATGCCTGTGTCCTAATATCTTCTTCTTATAAGGACACCAGTCATACTGGATTAGGGCCTACCCTAACGACCTCATTTCAATTTAAACTCTTTAAAGACCCTATCTCCAAATACAGTCACATTCTTTGGTACTGGGGGTTATGATTTCAACATATGAATTGGGGTGGGGACACAATTTAACCCATAAAACTGTGTGTATTGAGTACCTACTATGCACCAGACATTCTAAGTGCTGGTTATGGTAAGCAACAGATGTGGTCTCCGCCTGGTAAGATTTACAGTGAGGTAGGGAAGATAGATATTTTAAAGATAGATATTTTTATTAGTGTCATGCAAATCTTATGCTTTGGTAATGGATGACAGGAAGGCCTTGCCCTTCCTCTCAGTCTCCCAACCTGGCCGGGCGGGTGAAAGAGCCGCCCTAAAACTGAGGTAACTATGAGGTTAAAGAGTCAGCAACTTGTCAAACCGGGACATACGGGTTAGTTGCAAGGGAGCAGAGGTCTGGCGCTAGCCAGCAGTGGGCGCTACCTCAATCCGCCCTTTACATTACTATGACGTGGGGCCCGCCTTTTCCCTCCCTGACCCCGCCTCCTCCCTGCTCGCTGCCCCGCCCCTGAGAGCTCTCTGGCCAGCCACGACCCAGAACGCGTCTCCCTTAGCTCTAACAATAGGGGGTCATTCGGCCACGCCTGCGCCATAGAGCCGGGAGGCGGGCCCAGCCGGCGGCGGGAGGCGGGAATAGGCGACGCAAGCAGCCGCGACGCCATTTGCTGCTGCCCAGCGTGGGCGCAGGCGGATCTCGGAAGATCTAGGTCGCCAGACTCTCCCGCGCACGCTACCTGGCGTTCAGCGCCTGCTTCTTTCCGCGCGGTCTCTCTTGTCGCCCCTTGCGCCCCTCGGAAGAGTTGCCGCCGGCGCCTCCGCCACCCCGAAAGAAGTCAGAGAAGCCGTGAGGCCGCGATCACCGCCATGCCCAAGAATAAAGGTAATGCCTCCTGGACCCCGGGACCACGACTCTATTCGGCCTGGTCTCCCACGCCCTGCCCGCAGCCTCCGGGTCGCCCAGGCCCCAGTGACCTTTCTTCTCGCCTTGCCTGCCCGCGACTGGGAGCCCCTGCACGCGACTCTCAGCTCGGGAGAGGAGCTGGGAAGTTAACTCCTGTTTCCCAGTTTGGCCACATTGGGGTGGAGCCGACGCCATTTTTGTAGGGCCTCCTGCGGGAGAATGTGGGTTTTTGCTTCTGATTCGCGCCATACTGCCGACAGAGACCGTTGGGGACACCTCCCCCGGGGCGGTCTGGGATTCGCAGATGGGCCCCTTTGGCCTCCCCGGCCATGGGAAGTTAAGCCCTGGAAGCAATTCTGAACTTTAAAAGGAAGGGTGATGCTTTTGTGACCATTAGGTATTCCTGCATGGGTTTCTTTATGGACAGTTCAGTATTGTTGAGGCTACCCACTTGTCCCTTGTAAACAGCGGGGGAAACCTTGTTGCATTTTTAAGGTTCATCTCTAGAGATTTACTCTCCTCCATCCCTTTACAGTGTTTAACTTTTTTTTTTTTCCCCCAGAAGACTTGTTCCATATTTAGCCAAGTTTTCTATTTTTGTGCTGGGAATAAGGACCTTTAAGTCCCCTCCTTTCTGAGGCTAAGCAGGTTATCGGTCTTAAGGATAAGTTTATTTAAGATTTCCAAAATGGAAGGCCTAATCTAGGTAAAAGCAGAACACTTTTGAAGAATTTCTTTTTATAGACTTACAATGTTTATGTCATTTTTAATATCCATATAATATCTCGAAGAAAATTGTGCAAGTAGAAATAGGGAAAACATTGTGTTTCCTACTGGAGAAGAGCATATTTCATAGACCACAGAAGTCTCCTTTGATTATTTATCCATAGGACCTTCTCCCATGACCCAGGCCTACTTGTGTTCTCTTTTCTACTTGACAGATGGTTCCAGGGATTCTACCTCATGTCCTCTTTCTGGCTGTCACTGCTCACTTTATCCCTCAGGGTACTTGGTCACAGTTCTGTGCACAATGTGATGCAGTACTCTCAGGGAACTCCACCTTGCTTCCCTCAGAAATCAAACTTGCAGGTCCTTCTTGTAGCAAAAAGCACAGCAAGGATTTTTACTGCTAATTATTCTGGGAATGACAAGGTGATAAACTTAGGATTTTAGAAGTCTTACAGTTTTTGTCTTATCTATATAATCTTTTATTCCCTCTGAGATGATAACTGGATCACTTCAGTGGGTATCTTCTCAATATTATTTCTAGTAATGAAATTTCCAATTTCTTCACTAGGCTGTAAGCTCTAAAGGGCAGGAATAGTATCTGTCTTAATCACATTGGATTGCTAGCACTTGACACTTAGTAAATGCTCAGTAAATATTTGTTGGATTAACTCACCTCCCTTCTGTTGGCTCCACTCTTAGGTGAATAATAGGTTCCTCTTTGGTTCCAAGGGAACAGGAATTATACACAACCCATATCAAGTAAGATCCCATCTGGGAATTTCTCCAAAACACCTCTGATTGGTTTAAAGAGGGATTTGAGAATTTTGATTTAGTTGAGAGGCTACCAGTTCTTTTAGAAAGAAAGCAAGGTAAAAAGTTAGAATGTTTGTTCTACTTTATACTGCTTTAATTGTTGGACATTCGGGCTTGGTCTCTTTCTTTCAGAAGAGAATTTAAAGAGCATTCCAGTACAAAGTAGACAAGTAATGAATCGTTTTTTCATAAATAATATTTGAGGCATACAAAAAATATAGGTAATATAACACCTGGGAATCCATTACTCTGAATTTAAGAATTACAACACAAATTGAGTTAAAGCTCTCTGTGTATCCCTCCCCAATCCTCTTTAACGCTCTTCCTCTTTTTCTGGATGTAACCACCATGCTGAGTTTGGTGTTTATCATTCCTGTCTATGTAAAGCTAATCGGTTCTCTTAGTTATCTGTTATCTTACTTAGAGGAAGGTACTTTTCAAGACCCCTAATTTTATGAGGTGAGGTTTACTAATGTAGAAATAAACTCATGTCTTTTTTTTTTTTTTCTTTATTGGAAAATCCAGAAGCCCTGTGAATATAATCTTGTGATAGTTACACAAATAAGGATAAAAATCGCCATAAGCAATATTTTGAATGACTTTTGCTTCAAGATGATTCTTAATCAGTTTATTTCCTCTACAAATTCTTAGAAACCCATTCTCAAATCATTAAAAAGGGCATCCTTTGGCCCACTCATGAAGAGCATTTGGGGTAAAGTATTCCCACACTTTGAGGAGGTTACTACCTATAATTTTAAAATCACCACTCCTTTAGGATGTATGGACTAGTCTTGATTCTGATTCATTCAAAGCATTGCCAAACTCAGATATATAACTCAGCAAACAGAGCAGGTGTAATCCTTGTCCTAATGAAGCTTGCACTCTAGTTGGAATATCTGGCATGAGTAATAGCTTGAAGTACTTTTCTGTTTCTGGGAAATTGGTTTTCGTGTGCCCTAAGAATGCCTCAAATACAGAACTCTAAGGATGACTCTAAGTGGGTCAGGAAATTGTAGACACCCACCTAACAGCACAGAGGCATGCGAGACTGCTCCAGAAGAGAGTAAGTGTACTTGATTCAAGAGGTTAGATATCTGTCTTTGCAGTGGCCAGTTGCTCACTCTTGATTCTATTTGGGTTGTGAACTTTTTGCTGCTTCCATGCTCTTCCCATGAGTCTCTTGGTATCACTACCACTTATAGCCTTTCTTCCACCTTTTGGAAATGGCTGCCGGTGTGGTTCAGGTTCTGGAATAGGAACAAAATGCTGTGGAGAGGTACCATAATGTGGGGGCTGGGAGCTCACTGACTAATCTTAAATAAGTTACTTCTCTGAGCTTCAGTGAACTCATTGGTAAACTGGGAATAAATGATTGTTATTACCTCATAGGGTGTTTGTGACAAGTAAATAGGTGGCGTTATTGCTAGTTTTTATGAGCATGGTCACTGGAGTCACATAACAGAAACAAGGATGTTGATTAAGGGCTAGCTTTGTAAAAGAAAGTAAACTGGGGCCGATCCCGTGGCGCACTCGGGAGAGTGCGGCCGTGGGAGCGGGTTCGGATCCTATATAGGAATGGCCGGTGCGCTCACTGACTGAGCGGCACAGCCGGTCACAAAAAAGACAAAAAAAAAAAAAAGGAAAGAAAACTGAGTTTTGAATGGCAATTTCAATATTTGTAATGCTCTGCCACCAAAACTTTGAAAAACCATGGTTACCTGTACACTCCTTGCTTCATTTTGGAAACATCAGGTTCCTTGCATAGGGCCTGGCTTCAGAAGACACCCAAGATTTCAGCTTAGAAGAATATGTATGGAATTGCATTTTTATTTGGAAAGGGTGGGTGCTAAAGAGGAATGTTCTTCTGTGTACTTTTATGTAATACCTGCTATTTGTATTTTATGTTTAATATGATTGGAGATTGTAACTTTAATATGATTGAGTAAACAAATTAGGTGAGTTTTTAAATTTAAGTGATTTTTTAAAATAGCCTTAAGTTTCTTTTCATATTATTTTGCACATAATTGCCTTTTTCTTTCTTTTCTTTTTTTAAAACCATTAGGTAAAGGTGGTAAAAATAGACGCAGAGGTAAAAATGAGAACGAATCCGAAAAAAGAGAGTTGGTGTTCAAAGAAGATGGACAGGGTAAGCGTTTTCATAAGTTAGGCTTTTTTAGTAACATCTTCTCTTTTTTAAATGTGGAATTTCAATCTTTAAAAGCGATCCTATTATAACCCTGAGCAGTAAATCTCATGTCCCCTTTGTCCTTCATTTCTCATCCTCCATGCTTCTCCAGAGCCTTTCTTTCAGTAATCATTTCCTGGTTTACTCAGTCTGCATTGAGGTTTGGTAGCATTTCTGTAAACACACCGGTTTCCTTGTTTTGTGTGAATATTCACAACTAGAAATGAATTGTACAGTTCAAAGGGAATTAAGCCTCAGGAGCTATGGTTGACAATTTCATGATTTAGTGGACCTTTTATGGTAGTAAATGGTGCTATACATTTTGTTCAGTAGACCATGGGTATTTGAAGGATGAATCCTAGGCCATCCTGGGCCTCTCCATTCTCCAGCACCAGTAGCATATGATTTCATAAAATACAATAAAATGAAACTGAACAATTTATTTAACTTTTTAGACCAATTAAGGTTTTTTAAGTGCCAGACCAAGATATATAACACTAGTAAAATAAATTCTGATTGGATCACTTGCTTTTTTCCCATATTTTTAATTTGAGTAATTTCAAACTTATAGAAAAGTTATTAGTATTAATGTTGTCAGTACAGTGAACTCCCTTAAATCCTTTTTACAAACACATAAAGAAACATATAGTTTTTTTCCTGGATCATTTGAAATTTAGTTGAAGATATCAAGCTACTTTTCTCTTACTACATCATGTGTCTCCTAAAAGCATTCTCTTACATAACAATAGAATTATCGCACGCAGGCAATTTAATGTTAATATAATATAGCATATAGCCTATATTCAAATTTCCCCAGTTGTCCCAATAATTTCCAGCACTTTAACAAATAACTTTTTTTGATTGTCTTTTTGTGGAACTTTTGATGGACTTATTCATTCTGTACAATTCAGGCTGCTAAAATGAAACATGTTTTCTTGCTAAAGATCTTTTGTTTCTTAGCCGTAGTCATTCTTGCCTCCATTAGCAGTTGACTTTATATGGGCAGATACTACTTTTTCTTTTTTATCTTTCCCCTCCTTTGGAGAGCCTGCCTCTGAAGCACTTGAGGCACCAGGTGGGCACTAGGCTCACTGTAGTCTGAGTAAGCTACCTTTGATCTCCAGAAGTAGAGCACACAGTCATGAAATCTACATATTCAAAATGAGTAGAACATTAAAACATGTCTAATAGTAGAGACAGCTTGTTATAGAAATGGCATTACAGAGTCTTGGTTTTTGACTCTGCCATTAACTAGCTTGGTGTTTATCACTTCCTTGTATTTATTTATACTTTTACTGCATGTATTTATTCCCAGTCAGTACAATTGTATGTTCTTACTTGTCCATTTTGTGTGGACTTTTTAAGTTGCTTTTATCAGAAGTTGAAGAATATCCCATACCCTTTTCTTTTTCTTTCCTTCCCAGAGTATGCTCAGGTAATCAAAATGTTGGGAAATGGACGATTAGAAGCAATGTGTTTTGATGGTGTAAAGAGGTTATGTCACATCAGAGGGAAGTTGAGAAAAAAGGTAGGTGTGGAGATTTGCTTTACTTTAACATAAAATTGGTTAAGGGGAAAGAAATGCCTCAACAGTTTTTATAGCCAAGGATCTCATTTTTGTAAATTCCAAAAAGAGTTACCTATGAAAACAATAATTTACCTGTAAGTCAAACAGCGAGATCCTTAATGTTAATTTTATACAAATTCTATTGTTTAAAGAATTGTTTGCATTGCCTGTGTTGTATTCCTGCCCAGAATGTTTAACATGAATCTGAATCATGAAGAAATAATTAACAAACCCAAATTGAGAAATAGTCTGCAAAACAAATGGCCCAGGTCTTAATAAAATGTTAGTGATATGGGGCCGGCCCGGTGGCGCACTGGATGGTGCGCCGCTTGGGAAGCGTGGCGGCGCTCCCGTCCGAGGGTTCGGATCCCACATGCAGACCGGCTCCCGCTCACTGGCTGAGCGAGGCGCGGGAGCAACACCGAGGCTTGCGATCCCGTTGCCGGTCCCCGGTCTGGTACGGGGGCAACACTGAGGGTTGCGATCCGTTGCCGGACACGGAAAAAAGACAAAAAAAAAAAAAAAAAAAAAAAAATGTTAGTGATATGGAAGGAAAAACAGGCTGGGAAACTATTCTAGTTTCAGGGAGACTCTTAAAGAGACCTTATGGTTAAATGTAGTATGTGGCACTTGTTCGGATTCTGGTTTGGGGGTTTAGAGGATAGCTGTAATGGATATTAAGAAAATTTGAATATGAAATATGTTAAATGAGTGTTGAATTAATGTTAAATTTCTTGAAGGTGATGATGAATGGACTGCCTTAGAAAGTAATGATTAATTCACCATCATAGTAGATGTTTGGACAAATTTATTAAGTAGGTTGGTTAAGAGTCCCAACTCTGATCTTGTGGGTTTTTTTTTTTATTATTATTAATTTGGTATGTTACTCTCTGTTCTCAAACTAAAGGAGTTTGGGGAGCTGTGTGTATGTAGGTAGATGGAATGCAGGAAGAGAGGGAAGGAGATAAAACCACTTAATTTTCTATTCTCATAATAGGTAACTAACCACTTGGAATAGTTCATGATCGTAAATCTCTTTCTAAACTAATCATCATTACTCCGGATTTCTTGATTGTTTTTATTTTAAATATAATTTTCAATGACTTTTTTTTTTTTTTTTTTTTTTTTAATCTGTAGGTTTGGATAAATACCTCAGACATTATATTGGTTGGTCTCCGAGACTACCAGGTAAAAATTACATTTAAATTTTTCATTGTTTACTTGTTTGAATTCAATGAGCCATTTCTTAAGAACCAGTTGTGTTTTAGGCATTGTGCTAGGTATTCCAGGGATTCCCAAATGCCTTCTGTGGAGTAACACATAAACTTTTTATAAAGCTAAGTGGTCCTTTTTTTTCTTTTTTGATATTTAAAAAAATCCCTTTTTTTAAAAGTGAGTAATCTTATATAGTGGTGGTTTTATTTGTGGTTTTAGTTGGCAAAATAAAAATATAATCTTATGTTGGACGCCCCCCCCCCCCAATTCTTTTAATTTATGGATTTTTAAATCAAAATCTGGGAACCATTACTCTAGGAGATAAAGCTAAATAAGTCAAATTCCCTTCACACAAAAGGCTTATAGCCTGGTAGTAGAGAGAATAAGACAGGTACACAAGAAATTACAGTATACACTATGACATAAGTATGTGCTATAAATTTATTTATTTATTTATTTTTGTCTTTTTCGTGACTGGTAAGGGGATCACAACCCTTGGTGTGGTGTCACCCGCACTGCGCTCAGCCAGTGAGCGCACCGGCCATTCCTATATAGGATCCGAACCCGTGGTGGGAGCGTCGCTGCGCTCCCAAGCGCTGCACTCTCCCAAGTGCGCCACGGGGCCGGCCCTGTGCTATAAATTTAGATAAGCACTTGGGAAAGAAAATGGTAGTTGCCCTTCATGATCTCAACCTTGAATGTACTCATTGTGGATCTGTGAAATCCATTTGATTTCCATCTATTAGAACTCATCCCCATGTAATAATACTTGTTTTTACAGCCTTGATCGTACTTTGATTTTTTTTAAAATATATATTCCAGAATAAATATTTTAAATCTTTACTTTAAATCATTGGCTTTCAACCATGGACACATATTTTGCCCTCCAGGGGACATTGGCAGTGTCTGGAGATATTTCTGGTTGTCCCAACTGGAGGAGGGCTGCAATGCTGCTGGCATGTAGTGGGCAGAGGCCACGGGGGATGCTAAACATCGTACAGTGCATAGGACAGCATCCCACAGCAAGGAATTGTTCTGCTCAAAATAATCAATAGTGCCAAGGTTGAGAAAGCCTGCTTTAAATTCATACCATTCTAATGTCCATTTTCTTTTTTTTTTGATCTTAACAATAACCCCAGAAGTGGGAAGAATAATTAATTACCTGTTTGACAGAGAACACCAAGGTTCTGAAAGGAGGAACATTCTGAAAAGTGCCAACCAGGACCAACTCTTGTGATTCCTAATCTCCCATAATACTTTTGTGCCCCTGCCACTTAAACGGTAGTTCAGGGATCAGTATCCTCACCTGTCTTCTGGGAGCTTGTTAGAAATGCAGGTTCTTGGTCTCCACCCCAGTCCTCCTCAGTTAGAACGTGCATTTTAACAAGATCTCCATGAGATTCTTTACACTTTACAGTTTAAGAAGTGCTGGTCTGAGTCACACTGCCCTTGAAGTTGAAGCAATCAATTTTCTCCCTTAACTGAGTCAGATTCTTTTCAAATGAAGAAGTGTAAACATTCCAAAGCAGTATTTCTCAGTGGGACATTTGCATCGGAAATACCCAAAGAACTTTTAAAAATACAAATTCTTGGGCTTCACATCTACTAATCTATCTTCAGGAAATTCTGATTGATACATACCCTAAGAAGTAGGAGAGGTATATTAATTTCCTTAGGTCATTATACCAGTCTCAGTTTTTGAATTGCAATGTTTGGTCACCTTGCAAAATATGGCCTCTGGGAACTTGTGTACTTCAAAAGATTTCTAATCAAAGTATACCAATAAATAATCTAAAAGATTGAGTCTACACACCTTTGCTCTTATTAAAGTGAGATTTGTAAATATCTTTTCTAAGCTTACTCATCATTATTCAGTCATGCATGCACATAAGCTTCTTCCTACTAGGTTTAACCGAAGGATGTTTTTCAGAGGGTAGGAGAAAACTTTAAAATTTAAAAAAAGGGAGAAAGATTTGTAACAGAACAGTGAGATCTGATTTTTTAATTCAATTTGAAAGTAATTTACAAAATAACTGATAGTATTTTGGCATAATTAGTTCTAAAAGTTACTTGTCTCTATTTAAGGATAACAAAGCCGATGTAATTTTAAAATACAATGCAGACGAAGCCAGAAGTCTGAAAGCATATGGCGAGCTTCCAGAGCATGGTAATGTCAGAGTTATTATATTAACTTGTCGTATGTAAGGTGATCTATCGGGTGTTTGGGTGAAGGAATTTTGGTCAAATTTTGTGGATCATTTTATTTACTTTTGTGCTTACATGATTAGTTTTAAGTATGCTTGCCTATATTTCATAATACTAGATACTGTAAGAAAGAAGTTATACTTTATAAGCCCTGGATTTCTGCATAATGCCACTCAAAGGAATAATTTTGTTATAGTATTTATTTTAAAATTCTTTCCTCAAGAGACTGTCAGTTTTCATCTACGTTAAACATGAAACAAGGACAATAATTAGGTATTGTTGAGTTTTATTTTAAAAGTCTTTTTTCAGTCCATCTTATCCTTGTATCATAGTATCCCATAGGAATTTGGGGGGTGGAGGAGCTGGCTGGTATGTGGATCTGAACCCTTGACCTTGGGGTTATTAGGCCCCATAGGATTTTTTAAACATCCTACAATGCACAGGACAGCATCCCACAGCAAGGAATTATTCTGCTCAAAATAATAAATAGTGCCAAGGTTGAGAAAGCACATTCTTCTTTTTCCCCCTCCAAATATAAAAGTAATGTATTCTTAAGCACAAAACTTAAAACAATAATAAGTCCCTCGTAACTTCATCAAAGGGGAAATTATCGTGTAAGCCTGCATTTTTTACTTGGCAGTTATTTTTATTTTTGGATTTGTTGTATTTTATTACGAAGAAAAAAACATAATTTTACTTATGCATGAAGATCCTGCTGAAATTATTTACTTTGGATTTCTGATCTAGAAAGTGCTAACATATATGAGAATAGAATTAGCACTTCTGGTTTCATTTTCATTGCTTAGGGATAAACATGATTTAATCAAATCTTCTGATTGGTGAGTCTATCTGATGATTGCTGAGACAGCTATTCTTATCTCAAGAAGTAAATTGTTAGCATGTACTCAAACCTTTTTTGAAGTATACCTGGAAGTTGTAATAGCTTCAGAATTAGTATAATTAGAGCCTGCCTTACTAAAAATACATTTGCAAACAAAATTATAACACAGATATTCTCCATCTTGGCATAGGAGGGAATTTTGTTGAATAAAATATTGCTCTGTATAGTGGTAGGGTTGTTAGGCAGAAGTTAGGAAGGCTTTTTTTACAATGAAACTTTGATTAAATTAGAAGGTTGGCTTGAAGAGTCCTTTTATAGTTCAGCATTTCATATCAGACCCTCTTCTTTTAGTGGGCAGTTATTAACACCTCGATTATATTATATGAGTATATTTCTTATTGTGTCTTTAGCTAAAATCAATGAAACTGATACATTTGGTCCTGGAGATGATGACGAAATTCAGTTTGATGACATTGGAGATGATGATGAAGACATTGATGATGTAAGTAGACGCACCTTAGAGTTTCCAATTTTTGTTTTAAGATTGCGGAACACTTAAATAAGGGTATATTTTGAGACTTGTTCATGAATTAAAATACTCAGTATTATTTAGAAGATTAGAAGACAGCTAATCAAACGGTTTATACTTTGAGAGGTCTTACAGTCCTCTTCAATATTTCTTTCTGAAATGAACAGTGTTTCCTTTGGCAATATGAATGCCAGGAATATAATTTGTTTAATTAAGGGTGTCTAAAGAGATGGCTATTAAGAAATTTAGTAGACAGTTGAGAAATATAAGATCTTATCAAAAGAACATGCCTTCTCAATTGAAAAATTAGTATGTTAAAAGAATCTTGTTTGAACCAGCTTGATATGAAGTATTGGAATTACAGCATACCCTGAAAGCCTTGTTAAAATGGAGGCCCATTGCCAATTATGTTATTTTATCTTTTGGGTATGCACTATTGGCAAACTCTTGGTTTGGAGTTGGTATGTTTATTTTGAGGAAAATATATTGTTTTTCCTAATAATAAAGCAGTAATGCCCACAGGAGTAAGTCCTTCACTGTGTACTTCTGCTATTACTGCATTTTATTCAAATATAGCAATATTGAATTTTGTCAAATTCAAATATTGTCTTTTGACAATATAAATTTATTTAATAATTGGAGTGGTATTATAAGTTACTCTTAAATCTAGTTTGGGTTCTTTTTTTCAATCTCCTTTGCATAAAATGTAGTTCAGAACCCACATGCGTATATAAATCCAAAACTAATAATGATGGTGTTTGATTTGATGCAAAGATGAAATTGCAGAATACCTAGAGCAGTTGTTCCTAACCAAGATTGTACAATAGAGTTACCAGATCACACTGCACTCTAACCAACTGAGCTAACCAGCCAGCCCACCAGAGCTTTTAAAAATTACACAGGCTGGTCTTAGGGAAACCTGATTTTTATCCTTCACTGAAATTCTACGATTAACATTTTTCTATACTTGACTTATCACATACCTGTCCATCCTTCTATTCATCCTTCAATCCATCGTATATTTTGATGCATCTCCAAACCATTTAGAGTAATCACACCGTGAATTAAAGAAAGTTTGAGTACATATCCCCAATGTGTATATGCATTTATGAGTTTTTAAACATGCAGTACTATTCTAACTTATACACGTTTTAATGCATACCCAGAAATAGAAAATGAAAAAAGGAGAAAATGAGAAGTAAATACAGCGTTCTTTTATTTTCTTAATGTACCTCCTTTTGGAGACCTTGAGCCAAGAGGATTACTAATACTTTGACAGTAGAATTAACAATTATACCCTGTAGCAAGAACCTGACATGTAGCTAGCGTGTTGTGGATTAAGGCCCTATCCAAACATTTTGACAGCTGAGCTGGGGTAGAAGGCCTCTTTAGAAAATTAGGGAACCTAATCAGAGAACATACATGAATATGAAGCCATACATACTGAGGTGATAGGTTGAGAATCTAGACAGGGTTAAGTTTTTCTCAGAAAAAAAATTCTGGATATGTGCCAATGTCTCCTCAGAACGGCCTAGCAGACTGGCAGGAAAAGAGATGGTAAAGACAGTGGTTATTAAAGGAATTTGAGTTCTCCTGAACATTTTGTAAGGATTTGCTCTATCTGAAACCCTACTTCTTCCCTAAGACATTTCACCACATGGTTTTTAGGTGTTCTAACGCTGTAACTCCTATAACTAGATTGACTCAGAAGAAGAAAATTAGGTCAGTATCACACTTGTCTCATTCTTAAAGAGATCATGCTCCCCCGTGTCTGCTCCCACTCCCAAAATATAAAATCTCAAGTCACTAGCATAAAAGGAAGGAAGGAGACACTAAACTTTATTAAGAATATTCTTTATAATACAAGATAGGCTAAGGAGGTGAAAGTTTCCCTTATAGATGTGGTAGACTGAATATAAAAATTCTATTTTTCCTTTGATCTGATGTTTTTTCCCTTCCAGATCTAAATCGAACTCAACATTTGACATTCCAATTTTTCTGAAGATTGTCCAACAGTCTGGATTTTGGCCGTAACCCTTAAAGAAGATAAAAATTTCATTAGCATGAATGCAATTTGTTAAAGCAGACTAATTTGTTTCTAAGGTATTTGTGTTTCTTTAAAAACTAATAATGCTGAATTATCTTAAGTGAAAAGTTAAGCCCCTTTGTTCTTTTGATGTAATGGAGCTTATGGGTAGAAGACCACATCTGCTATTTAAAAAAAGGAAAACATGCATTGCTGCCTCTCCTACTTTGACCACTTTCAGTAAGTAAATTGATGTTTTGAATAAGCCATTTGCCTCCGACTCAATTATGGATTATGATAAAACCCTAGTTTTGACTAGCCTGTTAACTGTACAGAGTCTTTCTGTATATTCCAGTTACAGATGTTCCCTTCAGATTTTGGTACAATTTGAGGGAGGCAGAAATCTACATTTGAAGTCAAAAACGATAGGTCCGTTTTTCATATTTAAGTAGCATGTGGCTATTTTTATACTAATTTTGATATCGTGTACATTCTTTTCATGATCTTATTTTGCCACCATAAATGTATCAAAAAAAAAAAAAAAGTATTTCCAAAATGTAGTTTTAGAACTTGGGTTTTAATAGCAATTTTGAATTTGTGAGGTTAATAGTTGCAGAAATTGAACACTAGGTGGCACTCAGTTATCTTAACATTGGAAATATTGATATAATCATTGACTTTCTTTTTTTTACTTACTGTGCATAGAACATTTCCCAGACAAGAAAAGATTGTTTGATCATATGCATGTATGTAGAATATTTTTACAACAGAAAGATTGTGTTAAAAGTGTTATTTTATTTTCAGAGGTCATATACTTGTAAGCTACAATTTTGAGTGCTTTGTAAACACTTAAAATATATATAAATGAAAATTTAATTTCATAACAACTTGTATAAATTAAGCCTTTTCAATTTATCTGAGCTGAGGAAAGAGGAGGGAATAACAACTTAATGAAAAGATGGTTTCCAATTTCTGAATTGAAGAGCTACAGCTGAGAAAAAGATGTCATGCTGTATGCAGAGTATATTATACTCTGTGCTAAGGATTTATTTTATTAGGTGGACAGATTTTTTTCTGCTTGTATTGGGAATTTAGGTTTACCCTTCCTTATTTAGTTTTTAGTTATCAACTCTAATAAAATGAAATTAGGACTGGGCTAGGTAGACTGCACTAGCCACATGAAAATTGTATGCAACTTTTTAAAAGAAGAGATCCATCATGTAGCTTGTGAGACTTTTTTATTGTACAGAGAACTTTTTAGTGACAAAAAGTAATACACAGAGGAATAAACCTTCACATGGCTTCATTAAACAAGCAAATCTTCTCTAATCCCACTCTTACTATAAAGTTTCCTTTCCTACTTATACAAACTCTGGATTCAAAATCTGAGGTACTATAAAACATTAAGTTGATAAATAGAAATTAAGAGTACAAAATTGTGGTTCATGTTTCTTATTCTGTGAGTTCCTGAACACTTATCTAGGTGGAATGCATGTGAGACTACAGGCTGGTTTTTAATGCAAGAAACCAGCCTTAAAGAATTGACATAGGAGTTTTCTTTATCGGTAATCTTAAACCTATGATATTTAGCTAGCCTTCTGTACATAAAAGTGTTTTGCTAAATTTACAGTATATATAGATCCTTCCATGTCATTTTACCAAGAATGTTTGAACTCTGCATATGGGATATAGTTCCTGGTAGGGATAGTGCAACTCGAACATTAGTTTTTCTACTTACCTCCTCTAACAAATATGGTTTGTCTGAAGAGTTTTTAAAAATTACAACTATGACCCCAATTCACGTATTTGCTGGTGATACATTTTTTTCTTGCCTAGGTAGTAACAGCCTAATGTAGTGCTGTTGCTTCCTGGAAAATCTCAAATCATAATGATTAAAATAGTTGGGGTAAAGTTGTAGCTCATATGCAACACTACTTGGAGGAATTCTTTTAGTGACATATTTAATGTGGAAATTGTATAGTTTTGTTGATTTGGTTATATTTCAAATAAGGAATGGAAGTGGTCTTCAAAAAAAGTTTGGGGTTTTTTTGTTGTTTTTGTTATACTCTTTGATTCCTGTAATACAATGCTATGAACCATGCCCAGAAAGAAAATAAAATGTTTGAAATCCAAGAATGATGGTTCTTACTGCTAAGAGTGTGTGATAGATATTACTTATGAATTTGATAGGGTTGCATTTTTCATGCTGTGTTCATTCCACTTCCAATTCAACTATAAACACATTGTATTTCTAAGGTGGCTAAATAACCAAACCAAGCATTTGTGTTAAAAGACTTGCCAAGATTTAATTGTTTGACTGTTGAATCTCTCTTGAATATCCAGCCTCTAAAGAGACTACTTAAAGAGCCTGTAAACTATGCATGACGGAAATTCTTATATGGAATGACCATTGGTTTACTTACATCTCTGGAATTGTGGCTATAAATAGTTGCTTTACAAGACTTGTGATTTGTAATTTAACTTAATCTCATCTGTCTTAAATATTAAATTATAATGTCAACATCTTTAATAGGTATAAATTGCTGTTAGTATTGACTCCAGAGTAACTCTGAGTAATCATATAGGTAAAAGCATGTTTTGAATAAAATACCTGGCTAGATTTATACTTTATTTGTATTGTACAGATTTAACAACATCCAGTATTAACTGGCTTAACAGTTTTAAGTATCAGTATGAAGTCAAGGTTCTTTATGTTATGACTGGCATAAAGATTAAAAGGATTTGTATTGATAGGAAATATTTATCTTTATCCTGCTTAGTGTAAGGGTAAGTTTCATTTATACTGTTCAGACTACCGTGAACTTTTGCACACTACTTCATGTTTTTGGTTTACCTTAAACCACCATTCTTTTTTCCTTTTTGTCTTTTTCTGTGTCCGGCAACGGATCGCAACCCTCAGTGTCGCCCCCGTACCGGACCGGGACCAGCAACGGGATCGCAACCCTCGGTGTTGCTCCCACGCCTCACTCAGCCAGTGAGCGGGAACCGGTCTGTATGTGGGATCCAAACCCTCGGCGGGAGCGCCGCTGCGCTTCCGAAGCGGCGCACTACAGCAGTGCGCCACCGGGCTGGCCCCAAACCACCATTCTTTTTTCCTTTTTGTCTTTTTCTGTGTCCGGCAACGGATCGCAACCCTCAGTGTCGCCCCCGTACCGGACCGGGACCAGCAACGGGATCGCAACCCTCGGTGTTGCTCCCACGCCTCACTCAGCCAGTGAGCGGGAACCGGTCTGTATGTGGGATCCAAACCCTCGGCGGGAGCGCCGCTGCGCTTCCGAAGCGGCGCACTACAGCAGTGCGCCACCGGGCTGGCCCCAAACCACCATTCTTTTTAACCTTTTTTTCTTCCTATTCAGAAAAGAACAAAGTCTGAATTCAGTCTTGTGAAAAGACAGTAGACTCTTTGCTATAAAATGAATTGGGCAGTTTGGAGAGTGTGTTGGACTTTGTCCTCTCTTGCTAGAGAGGGTCAGATGGCCTGTACCCCAACCCCCACTCCGCCCTCTACCCACAGGTGACCACAGGTTCCTTCTCCAGCTTGCCTCAGCTTCAGCCTCCTTACCTGTAGGATGGGAATGATGAGAACAATACCTGCCTCTCAGAGTTGTTGGGATTAATAATTTAGCTGTATTATGTGTAATGCACATAGAACGGTGTCTGCCTCTTTTCACTTGATATCCAGGACTGTGTAAGCTGGAAGGTGCATGTCTTCTATATTCTCTATTTACCATTTCTTTTCCTTTCAGTCTTTGATTCCTGTGATAGAAGGAACGTGTAGAATATTTATTTGTATATTCATGTCAACACAATATTTAAAATAATTGCTGCCAACCTCATTTAATTCAGCATAAGACTAACAGATGGAACTCTCTAAGTTGCTTGAAGATATTTTATAAAATACTAACCTGCTGTATATTTCTTTAGAGAAAGTTTATAGTTATTAATGTTGACAGCTCTGGTAGTATTTCATTCTTCTTAAGTCCTTTTACATCCTTTTACTATAGATTTATGACAGCTAATTACTACTAACTGATTTGGGGGTTTCCTTTCCCATCATTTGGAATGATGTAAAGAAATCAGATGCAAACTACTGCAATTAGAAAATAAAATATGAAACAGCTTTCAACAGTGTATACAATTGATTCTTTTTAAACTGTTTATAACGTTTTTAAGTATTTAAACTTTTATTCATGGTGATTCTTCCTAAAAATTTGATTTTTTTTTTAAAGTTAATTGTGGTATGTGAGGAAAAGGTGTACTTTATCCATTTTATATTTTCGTTTCATGGTTTGAGTGAATCCATTAAGATATGCTCCAAATCTGAGACTGCATTTTCTCAGTGAGTGAATTTGTCACAAACCTGTGCTGAAGAAGATGTTTTCTTTCTTTTCTTTTCTTTTCTTTTTTTTTTTTTAAATGGTGGACCGGTAAGGGGATCTTAACCCTTGACTTGGTGTTGTCAGCACCATGCTCTTCAAGTGAGCTAACCGGCCATCCCTACATAGGGATCCGAATCCATGGCCTTGGTGTTATCAACACCACACTTTCCTAAGTGAGCCACAGGCCGGCCCTTGAAGAAGACGTTTTCTAATGGTACATCATTTGTCCGGAATGACCTCAAATTGCCAAAGTCACATTCAACAGACCTTATTTTGTACTGTGCAAAGACCTATAGGTAAATTAAATATACTTCTGGCCAGCTTGCTCACTTGTAAAGGGCAGTCTTTACTGTTCCAATCCATGTTTTGTTCAGTTCACAGCTTGATAATAGTAGATCAAAAGGTGGGGACAAAAATCTGAGTAAAGTCCCTTTGTTGATCCATACTGTCAAATATAGTTAGTTGGATTTTTCAAATTTGATAAAGTTTAATACATATTTATGATTTTAAACATCTCTTAGAAATCTAAGAATAATAGGAATTATTTTTAATTTGATAAAGGTTATCTGACAAAAGCAGACACAGAAACAAACTCACATTTTTTTAAAAGCCAGTTTTCAAAAAAAAATGTCTGACAATGTAGCAAATGCAGTTGAGAATATCATACATTCAGGACATCCCAGCCTTTGAGTACACATCTTTTTAATATTTTGTGTGATGAAGTGGGGAGTGCTACATAAAGCACTTCTGCATACTGAAGTACAACAGTTGTCAAGAAAAAGCGTTTGTGTGGTTATTTTACTTGCAAACTGAACTGGACACTTCTGGAACATTATTTTTATTTGAAAGAACAACTGACAAACTGGTTATTCAGACTTGGGTTTGTGATCAACCATGTTCACAAAAATGAATGAAATGAGCTTGTCACTTCAAGGAAAACAATTGACAGTATTTGTTGCCAGTGGTAAATTTTGAGCATTCAAGCAAAAATAAAACTAGTATCTGCTACTATTAACTTGACAGTTTCACGGTAAAGACTTGTGAAGAAGAGATCAGTTATATTAATGTGACTTTCTAATGTGAAATGAAATGTGTGAGCATTTGGAAGATCTTTATAGCTTTGTCAACCAATATTTTCCAAATGCATGTTACAAAGTCCAGTCAAAGTTCAAAATAGATCAATGGATTTTAATGTAACTGAAAAGTTCATTGGCTTGGTGTTAGATTCTACAGTGCAACTGACTTAGGAAATTACTGCTTGTCACTATTGGAGGTAGTATCAAAGAACATACACTATTATCAGAAAAGACTTAAAAATACTCTCTTTTCTAATTACATACCTCTGAGGTCAGATTTTCTTCATATGCTTTCAACATTGCAATACATTGAATACAAAACCAGGCATGAGATTGTATTCTGTTAAGCCAGGCAAAGAGATTGGAAAACATCAGGTCGAAGGGATACCTGCACTCCCATGATTATTGCAGCTCTATTTACAATAGCTAGGCAATGGGTCCAACCTAAAGGTCCATTTGCAAAAATGTGAGACAATGCCATCTCAAATTTTTTGTCTTTTGTTACTTTTCATTAAAAATGTTATTTATGTTAATGCATTAGGTTTATTATTGAATTAATATTTTAAAAATTTCTAGCACACTATTGATACAACTTATAAGTGACCTTGTCATTTCAAGGAAAGTTGACAATTTTTTTTGCCAATGATGTATGTATTTGCACTTTGAACTAAAAATTAGAGTTTTGGAACTTACATCTTTATCTTCCTTGTGTTAACAGATACAAAAGCTCTTTGTGATTCTCAATTTTTAAGCATAAAGGAGGGGGTGGTAAATTTTCTGTAAAGGACCAGATACTAAATATTTTAGGCTTTGCAGGATATATGGTCTCCGTTAACACTACTCAGTTCTGCCATCGTAGTGCAAAAGTAGCTGTAGACAACAAATGATTGTGGGGATATTCCAATAAAATTATTAACAGGAATAGGTAATGGACTGTATTTGGCCCCATGGATTGTAGTTTGTGGACCCCTGCTATTATGGTATTCTGAGAACAGAAATTTGAAAACTGCCAGCCTGACAATCAACTAAATGGTATAAGTAGCCTTTAAGATACTATTCAACTATAACTACAGAATTTTAGGAAGCTAGTATAATGGGGAAAAAGCCCAGAAAACTATTGAGTATCTTTAAAAAAAAAAAAAAAAAAAAATTCATTCTTTTTTTATGGCTGAGTAGTATTCCGTTGTGTATATATACCACAATATCCTTATCCAGTCATTCATTGATGGACCTTTAGGTTGGATCCATTGCCTAGCTATTGTAAATAGAGCTGCAATAATCAAGGGAGTGCAGGTATCCCTTCGACCTGATGTTTTACAATCCTCTGGATATATCCCCAGTAGTGGGACTGCTGGATCATATGGAAGTTCTATGTGTAGTTGCTTAAGGAACCTCCATACTGTTCTCCATAATGGCTATAATGAAATTCTACTATTTGCAGCAACGTGGATGAGCCTGGAGAAAATTATTCTAAGTGAAACAACCCAGGTACAGAAAGAGAAATACCACATGTTCTCACTCATAACTGGGAGCTGAATCCATAAATAAATGAACAATAAAGAGAAACAGAAAGAAAAACAATAATCACAGTAATACGTTGAACTTTGAGAAAACTAGAGGTGGAAAAGGGAAGGAGAGAGGGAGGGGAGATAATGAG